GAGAAGCTGCTCAGAATACATTTCATTAAGGATGTACTTGGGCTGATTTTGAGTTGGCTGTGGGGAAGCAGTAAACAGTCACAGCTCTTAACCACTCCTTCTGAACAAAATCTTCTTTAGGACAGAGAACATGTCTCAAAGCACATTTAGTGTATTATCACACATCCAGTAAGCAATTCAATATAATGTTTTAAATGGCCGTGGAGGACAGCCTGAGGCACCAATGCTTTTGGAAAATATATTTTGCATATCTACTGAATGGCATCATAGCGAGTCTATAAAAATATTAGCCTTAACGGAATCATTTCACCCATACTTTGCTATTAGTAAGTATGTCTGAATCCACTCCAGCGAAGAGGACTTTAAAAAAAATGTGTAAGTGTCTAGAGATAATCAAGCAGGCTACTTTATTTATTACAAGAAGTTCACGACTTCCCCACATGAATATACCTGACTGCCAGTTAGTTCACTTAGCTGCTCTGGTTAGCAGTTGCAGGCTAATCCTACCCTATTTTTATATTTATTTGATTTATTTATTTTTTTGGGACAGAGTCTCGCTCTGTCACCCAGACTGAAGTGCAGTGGTGCGATCTCGGCTCACTGCAATCTCCGCCTTCCGGGTTCACGCCATTCTCCCGCCTCAGCCTCCCGAGTAGCTGGGATTACAGGCATGTACCACCAAGCCTGGCTGATTTTTGTATTTTTAGTAGAGATGGGGTTTCACCACATTGGCCAGGTTGGTTTCAAACTTCTGACCTCAAATGATCCACCTACCTCGGCTTCCCAAGTGCTGGGATAACAGGCATGAGCCACAGCACCCAGCCAATCCTACCCTATTAATATGTGCTTGTAGTCATAGGGGGTTGTAGTCATGGGGAAAAGTGACTCATTTAATATATGTGTCATTAACTTCTGCTATAGGCAAGACAGTTTTAAATGATTAGAGCTGGGGAGGGGCTTAAAGATAGAGCATATGTTGACTTGAGCAGCATCGTCACCCATCCCTGTTGACAAGATTTCTGGTACAGGAGATTTTTGGTTTCAAAACAGGAGAGGTTCTAGCAAAACCAGGAGGCATTGGTCACCCCACCTTTACTCAGAGAAGTTACAGTTTAATTGGAAAGACGTGCACACAGAATATGAGAAATAGAAAAGTACTCTCAATTGCGAAAAAAGGGGAAATAGTTTTCCACTGAAGGGATTCTGGACCAGGGGAATGCAAATCCCCAGCTATACCTGGTGTCTGTGGGAGAAGAATTGAATGAATGGCATTTTGGTAAGATGAAACTTGATGGAGTCCAGGCATTTCATTGATCTCCTCCTAGATCTCCTGTGAAATGGCCAAAATGATAGCAAACTAAAAGAAATGTTATTACTGAAAACTAGGGAAAAGAGTCTATCATCTGAGAGAAAGTGCAAATAACTTCTGCTGGAAGAGAGCAATTGGAGGATAATTGAACAAAAACACTGATGAAGACTGTTTCACAAGGTTCCCTTCTGAGATGATACAAACATGGAAATTAAGGAAAGCAAGTCCTGGCAGCACCCCATGGATATTCCCTTATTTGGAGTGGTGAAGGGAGGGGTGAGGGTCGACAGTGGGCAGAGAGCACAACACCCTCAGAATCACTTCTGCTGCTGGGGAGTAAGGATCAGCCCAGGGCAGATCCTCCAGGATGTCCGGAGCTTCCAGCATGACTGAACCAGGCAGAGAGCCGGTGGTGAGCCAGGCATCCCCCTAAGCAGCGAGCCTTCCCTTGGTAAAGCAAAATTTCTTCCTGGGCCAAACTCACACCTGTAATCCCAGCACTTTGGGAGGCTAAGGGGGGCAGATCACTTGAAATCAGGGGTTCAAGACCACCCTGGGCAACATGGCAAAATCTCATCTCTACTAAAAATACAAAATTAAACCAAGTGTGTTGGCAGGTGCCTGTATTCCCAGCTACTTGGGAGGCTGAGGCAGGAGAATCGCTTGAACCCGGGAGGTGGAGCTTGCAGTGAGCTGCACCGTACTCCAGCCTGGGGGACGGAGCAAGACTTCGTCTCAAAAAAAAAAAAAAAAAAAAAGAATTTCTTTCTGGGCAAGCAGACTCCAAAGAAGCCTCAATCTGTGTACCTGTCGTAGAGACCAGGACAAACAAATCTGGATACAGAAAACTGACCTCTGAGCCACGCAGAGAAGAGATTGAGCAGAATTGGCCTTGACTGATCATGGCTACGAATCTTCCCTATTTCTTTTAGGCTGCTGGCTTTACTAAAAGGGCAAAGCAATTTTAAATTAAAACAGCAAGGATGACAAAAAAAATACCCCTTTTGAGCTTAAAATTTGAGAGACGATTTCTAACAGCAAGCAGATGGATAGTGAGGAGACACAAGGATAATCCTCCTACTCTATTTACAGGCAAGCACGAGGCTAGGAGGGGCCTCTCCTTTCTCAAGGATGTGTAAATAGAAAACAGCCAACAGGAGGCCTGTGAAAAGATTTTTGCAGCTCAAAATAAGGAGAGGGACATAGTATTCCACATCCAGGGAAGGAACTAGTTTTGAAGAGATTTATTACAGAAGATAAATTATATTTGCGCAATACCTGCTTTATGATCTCACTAAAATATAAGACAAGAGGAGTTATTTTTTTTTAATAGAAGACGTGAAAAATGACACGGAATCCCATGAGGCTGAGGTAAAACAGGAGCTATCTGAAAACTAAAAACATGCCAAAAGGAATCTGAATGAAGTGAAATAATTTAAGAAAATTAAAAATGCAATTTTAGAATTTACAACTGCATTTCGTCATTAAAGAACAGAACCAACACTGCAGAATTTTTACTTACTGGCTAGAAAACTCACTTGAGGATCCTAACAGAGCACAAACAAAGTGGGTGGAGAAAAGAAACAGATCAGAGAGAAATAGCAGATAGAACAGATTTGGAGTTTCAATATATACAAAATCAACGTTTCTGAATAAAAGACTAAAAAAATGGAATTATTTGAAGATATGAAATAAGGACTTTTATGAGCTGAAGAAATACACAAGCCTTCATATAAAAAGAGATCAATGAGTATCTGGAAAAAATTATGAAACATGGGAATATTATGAAAGGGAACAAAAATTCAGTTTTCCCTATGAACATTTGGAATTTCAACAATAAAATGGGAAAAATACCTGAAGAATTCTCACAGAGTTCTATAATGGTCCTGATAAAAAAAAATTAAAAAATGAATAAAACTTTCCTATATACTAGTTAAAAGAGTTTACTAAGGATAGAGTTTACAGATAGTAATATAAGATGACTCAAATAGACTTAAGAAGCAAGTGCCTATATACGTAAGAATCTTTATGCATTATAGCATAAAACTTGAAGTGATATGAAGAAATGAAGATTTAGTCCTTACTCTTAGATGTAAAGACTCAGGATTGTGTGAATATCAATTTTTCTCAAATTTAATGCAATTCCAACAAAAAACTTAGAAATCATAGAAATTTTTAAAAACTTGGCAAAATGGTTCTAAAATTTAAAATTATCAATGTTCGAAACAGCAAAAATATTTTGAAAAGCAGGGATAATAAAAAGTGACTTAACTATACTGTTAAAATGCTTAATATAGCTGACTAGATGGAGAAATCAATAAATGAAAATAATAAAACCAGAAATAGGTACATGCACAGAAGTTTATAGTGTATAATCCAGTTGGTATTAAAATCAATTGAATAAATATGAATTTATTTATTAAATGTTGTTGAGCATTAACTGTTAGGAAAATATAATGCTATTTATGTATTTACAGTATTCAACAAAATTAATTCTAGATGAATTACAACACTAACTATAAACAATCATACCAAAAATTAATGAATATAATATGGGAATAAATATATCCATTCAGGAATGTGGATTTGACTATATGACATGTTAAAATCTCCTTTGTATTACAAAACATAATAAGTTAGAGTTAAAGAACACAATAATAAAATATTTAATGAACATATGAGGGACTACTGAAATTCCCAAATAAATCTTGAATACCCTCTTAGAAAAATGTTTAATGAACACAAAGTTAATTCACAAAGAAGTACAATAATAAGAAGAATGGCCAAAATAACTAGATGAATAACATTTTTATATGACTCTAATAAAACTTTAAATAGCATTTTTAAAATTAATAAATTTGGTAAATATTTAAAATGCTAAGAATTCTGGAGGACATGGTGAGAACTCCTGTACAGTCTACAGAATTGTAAGTTTGCATAATGCTTCTGCAAGCGACTTTATAAAGTTATGTTAGTGTAATGATATTTCCATCATTATAACTGGATATAAGTATATGTGATTATTTACGAAAGCTGTAATATATGTTTATCATAGAATATTATGCAGCCACAAAAGATGTATTTTTAAAGATGCTAATAGCTGAATTAATGTGCCGTGAATTAAATCTATTTGTATATTTTCAAGATTTTCTGTATTTGACTTATATTATATACAATCATGTCATTTTGTAAAAACCAAAGAGTCTGCCCCACCACTGGTGATTCAATAACACAATATTTGCCACAAAAAGCAGCTTATAATTACTACTCAAGACAAGGGATTCTTATTGTCTTAGAAATACAACTTACTGTAACTTTGGAGGAAAACAATAATGTAAAACTTGTAATTGCTATGTTTTCAGTCCAAGGTTTGAGCACAAGGTGTTTTTTTTATAATTTCAGATTTGCTTGTTCTTACTATTAAGACTTATGAAGGTTTTTAAAGTAGAATATATACAAAATAAAAAAAATATAAAGAACATTTTAAAAAAGAGCCTATAAAGAATTACTCCACATGGTCAGAAGAGGGAGCTTTTAGATTGCAAAAAAAAGTAAAATTTTAAGCACTCTATTATCAGAAGTAACATTATTTCAAGTCCTCGTATTGAATACTAATAAAAAAGTAGCTACAGAAACATTCCTTTATAATAAATTAAAAAAACTTTTTTGTTTCATGAAATATTGAACTTACCTTTATTCCTCATTGAGAGCGTGTAGAATCTCACTCTAACCACTGTCTTCTGATGCTTTGCACATTTGACCTTTGCAAGTATGACTGATAAACCAGAAGGCTCCTGACCAGTTTCCACCTCCTGCTTTCCCTTTTCATCTTTGCAGGTCGCGGAGATGGCTACTGAGATAAGGGACAAGAGGGTGGAGAGCAAGGTGGCAACAACTAACCAACAACAAGATTAAAGATTTATTATGTATTATTGACCAACATTGTTCTTTAAAGATAATGCTAGAAATAAAAAAGTTGAAACGATCCATCTAATCTGAAGCCTTCTGCTATGTCAATATTCAGATTTTAAAACTCTTAGTTCCTAGTGCCTTCGTAAGCTCTTCATAAACCTAACTGTGTTCAGAGGTACAGCAGTAAATGATGACCCAGGAGTGAGTTCTGTTATTATAAAAATCATGGCAGTTAGAAGTGTAGCCCAGAGTGCAGAATGCAACGAGAAGGAGGGTAATTCTTTTTTCATTGGCATGGATCACACACCAGTTCTGTATTCAATCAGTGGCTCTCCATCTTGAAAGAGAAGTAGAAAATTTGAAGTGAGTTCATGACCTAGTCATAAGTAACATTCTAATTTGGGAAACAAATTATGAAAAACTCTATAAATAGGGTTAATTGTTTTCTTAGGTTTGTTACTTCAAAGAAGGAATTTGAGATGGTTACTCACCATGTATAATACACCGTATATGAAGGTCGATCATATCCAGGGGTGGGACCAGATGCTTTTCATCCTGCAAGTGAAAAAAGAAAATAGTTATTTTCAGTGAATGCTGCAAAACGCAACGAAAGTGAGTAACCCTGGGAGTGTAAAAGTCCCCCATTCTTCCGTGTGAATCAGTGCTCATCTAAAGCCTGAACCTGAAGAGCCTTAGACATGTCCCCTATTTGCACCCAGCATGGTTTAGATGACCCTAAGCCTCTTTCTGAAGTTACGTGTGCTGTTGGCTTAAATTTGACAAAAATGTTTGGTAGGGTCAAGGCACTAAGCCAAGTGACAAGGACCATTGAAGTTTCGTGCAATGTAAGGAAGGAGAAAGACCTGAGGGAGAAAGAACCTCGGTCATCCCAGGAATAGAAGGAAAGTGGGCTGTTTGAGGAGAGAGAATATAGAGGGATATTATTCAAATCAGTAAGAGGAGAAGATATCCTGTCTCTATTCCACTGTTGATCTTCTCCTCCTTATCACCAATCATTGGTTTACTTTTACTGTCTGAAGAGGTACAAATATTGTAATTTAAAAAGCAGATATTCCTTACAATAATATATTAAAGGCCGGGCATGGTGGCTCAAGCCTGTAATCCCAGCACTTTGGGAGGCCGAGACGGGTGGATCACGAGGTCAGGAGATCGAGACCATCCTGGCTAACACAGTGAAACC